CAGTTACCACTTCTCTGACCAGCACTTTAAATATAAATCTGTTTTAGAACAACTGTAAATGCTAATGAGTGGGGAAACAGAGAGAACTAATTTAGGGTCCAGTTCCAGTGGTGTAAAGGTGAAATCCTAGGGTTTTATGGGATACTTTTCAACAACGCTGCACCAGAGAATGCTTTTGTGCTTGCTCTTTGATCGAACTCCTGATGAAAGCCTGTTATGAGCTCTCCCCTGTACCTTCCAACCGAGCTTCTGAGATCCACTAGTACTTCTGCAGGAATGGCAATACCTGACAGAAGTTGGGGTTTTTCTGCATCACAGACAAAAGGAAGAGCAGGAGTGGCAGTAACAGCAGGGCAGGTGTGTCAAGAAGGGGCCAACTCCCCATTGTCCCCAAGTCCAACCTGTCCCCGGGAGCTCAGGAAGCCTCAGTGTTGCCTGAGCAGTGCCTTGTGCCGGAGACAGCGCAGTCACACCGAGCTCCCTCCTCTGACAGCACTGCCCAGCTGTCCTTCCAGGCCTCTCTGCTGATGGCACAGGATGTCTGCTGGGCTGCACCACTGGGACACGGGGCACAGCTGACCAGGTGTGCACTCCACAGGCCACTGCCACTAACAGTGACACTGCCACCAGGTTTCTCCTGGGATAAAGCCAAAGCCCAGCTGTGCTGTTGCTGTGTATGGTTTGTACACACGGCGTGTCGTGCACGTCCTTCGCACCCCGAGCTGGCTGGGCCAGTGCCACGTGTGCTGCTGGGGCCAGTGCCACGTGTGCTGCTGGGGTTGATGCCACGTGTGCTGCAGAGCAGTGCTCACACTGCACAGCCCACCAACGAGCTCCCTTTAGGCGCTGGCAGATTCATTCGAACACCAGCAAGAATGGGGCTGTGGCTGGAAAACCACCCAATAGCCCCCTCTGCTTCTTTCAGAGGGAGCCATTACATCCCCACAGAGATCACATCTCCTCTTCTTGGAGACCACTCCATGTCAGAGCCTTTAATGACTTTCAGATCCTTAATGGAATACAAGACCCTGAAGAGAAAACCCCTATGACCTTAACTTGTAGAATTTACAAGCTCATTTTTATCCATACAGAGTGACTTATTTCTAGCACAACTTAGGAAAAATATCCTCCTCCAAATGACAATGCTGATATATCACTGCTTTGCAATGCATTACTAGAGAGTTCCCACATTATTTAACACCTACAGGACAATTCCACTGATCAAACTCCTCATGCAAAATCTGTTGGGGCTTGCTATGAAACCGGTAATTATAATGGGAATCCTAGCAGTGTTTTTTAAGTATTGTGGTGTTTTTCATTTAACCCAGCAGTAAGTTTGTATCACTTCCATCAGTTTACTCTGACGAGCACCTGAATATTAATTTCCCCGAATGTTCTGTTTTCCTATTTTTCTCAGGATCCCAAAACGGACCTCTGAAAGTGGTTTGAATTTGCACACCTGGATATACACCAAGATCACTTCTTCAGCATTAATGAAGGACAACAAATTGTGCCTGTTTTTTTAATCATGTTTATAATGGAAGTGTTCCATTAGAAAATAATAACAATGCAAAATGCAGACAATCATAAACAACTATTGCTTGTCTACCCCCAACACTTTCAGTTTTGCTGAGCAATCTCTCCGTTTCACTGACAATTCTATTTCAGTGCATTCCAGCAGAATTGCCTATGTAAGTTTTAAGACAAAATTAGCAGCAGAAAACCTGAGACTTATGAATTTAGGTTTATATCCACCACATCATTTTAGTGTCTGACAGCATGAGTGTTTCAGTAGGTGCAGTCACAGGCTTTGATAGCAGCTATACAATCAGATGAGAAAAGCAGAAATTAACCACAGAAGTATTACTTTTTTGTATATATTTTGCATACAGGTTCCATGTGGAGACAGAGAACCCATCAATCCACTATCTACTAAAAAACCTGTATTTGTGCCTTTGTAAAAAAGTTGCAGCTATTGCAGACTGTAAGTTTTATGTAGCACATTCGTGCAAAAAAGGCCAGGGAACCAGTTTTGGCTGATTGCTGTCCCACATCCCACATGATGTGGTAGCAATAGATCTGTCAAAAACTACTCAGAACCTGAATATGTACCAGTTCCCCACACCTTTAGTTACCCAGCCCTGCTCTCTGCTTTGCCAGTAAAAGGGGAAGAAGGGGCACTACACTTATGGCAAATGAAACATGAGGGGCACAGGTACAGGTTCACCTTTGAACCTGAGGATCTCACATACTTGAACCAAATGGATGCTGTCTCAGCTGCTTAGAGAGCACACACACCACCATCCCAAACAATCAGGACTCCCTGGAAAGTCTATTTAAATAGACACCTAAATATTATTATTATGGAGTTGCAATGGCTTTAATGTCTGCTCTGTAACTGCTCTCTCATCTTAAAAACAGACCATCTTTCCACTCCATGCTTCCTCTTACTCTTATGCCACAAGTATTACATAAGGCCCTACACTTTAGAACTCAGTCTTGCAAACCAATCTGTAACTATAGATCAAGTTGTGCCATGGGTTATTTAAAGTATCTGACAAGCTCTCTGAAATTTGTGTACCTTCCTTTTTTGCTTAGACAACATATTAAAAACAAATGCCCTGCCATTAGTCATTCTTTTAACACTGAGAGATAATTGATACAGCCAGTAAAAAGTCTGAATAATGGTTTATATATGAAGTAAAGTGATTACTTACTGTTCAAAGAAGAGTTATTCAAGTAAACAAGCAACTTAGATTCCAGAAAATCCAGCAATGAACTACTGAAATGTCCATTAAAATACACCCATGCCAAACAGAAATATTTCAGACACACAAAGTCCATGAGAGATGTGGATTTTCTCCACTATTGATATCAGTACTTACTCAATGTGGGTTTGAAATATATAAGAGAATATGCTTCTGAACTCTACATGAGCTATCTGAAATCATTCACATTGCTCTCTTAGCTAGGTTAAATGAAACCTGATCTGGATTCCACTTGATCATAAGACTGGAATGCTGAAAATGCTGTAATCTATTTATACATCAAATTGAAGAAATGTTGCATGTCTTTAAATTTCACTGCATTCCAGTGTCTTAGCTAAATAGCAGCAGTTTACAAACTGTTTCATGTTCAAACTGAGAAAGAAAAGACAGACCAACCTGACTTATTTATCCTAAAGCCAGGATTGATTCCTGGCTTTTAGACTATGGCCCAAACCCAGGTCTTCTTTGTGCCTTCCCTGAAAGTGTTGTTCCTGCAGCAGTAATTCATCTCTACTGCCAAAACATGGTACTTGCTTTATGATGACTTTCAAATCCATACTTCTCCAGCATCAAGAACATACTACAGTCCCAAACTGGATTTGCTGCTCAGATCTTGCTCATACATCTGCCTCTAAATCACAAATGGTTCAAAATACAGCAGAGAGCAAAGCTGAGAACAACTGGGTTCAGGATCAGGCTAACAACAACTGATGAGATTTCATAACATTTGTTCCTTTCTACTTGCACTTTCAGTGTGTTTTGATGTGTGTAACAGTTTCCATTCATTCTCAGTTTTTGGTCATATAATTTTTTTTCATTTTAGTTTTTGGATTTAGTGCCCATTATTTTCCATACAGAAGACAATGAACATGGCAAAGACAAAAAAGAATAATTCTGTTATGGTCAGGAGAGAGGAAATTTCTGTGCTCTTTGTCACATGAGACTTTAAGAAGAGCCTGAAGCTAAATACTGCAGTTACTATTTGTGGTTCTCTGGATCGTTAGTGGCCTTTAGAAATGCAAAAATCCTACTTAGACATTCAAATAACTCATTTGCCCTTTCCTGTGCCCTTCTTCTCTCCAGCAGTCTGTAACCTCGAATTTGTCTTCCAGGTCTTGCAGTCACTGTCTTACAGCTTGAAATTCAAAAGGACTTGAAATTCAAATTAGCATTGCATTTCAGTGCAGTTTGAGACCATTTGGGGTAATTTAGAGGAGTTTTAAAAACAAGAAGAATTTGGGTAAATGTCTTATTGTCTAGCACCAGTAGTTTCACAAAATGGAAGATGTACAGTTTACAGTGAAGGAAAGGAATTTCTGATATTACTGTTTATTTTAAAATTTAGGATGTTAATGCAGGATTTTGTACAAGAGTCATCTGAAAGGGGATGCACTCTTAAAATACCCAATGTTTAGTAACCCCTAAATTTCTGTTCAAATTTGAAAAGACCTTGCTGTTAACTGCTTATCACTTGTCCATTACTGTGCCAGTATGCTACTATTGCTAAGACAGTATCACATGGTCTGATCAAAATTCAGGTCTCAGTACTCAACACACAAAAAAAGGCAGGCAGAGCCCTCAGTAGTTCTCTGTATCTGCAGATAATATCTGCAGGTGATAGATGGGAGGGAAAACAAGATGAAATTAAAAGAAGGAAAAACAACTTGTAGAAGGCCACAATGCAGATAAATACCAACTGAGGGGTACGACTGAAGTTAGAAGACAAGTCCCCTGAACTTTTCCTGCTGACTTCCCCACAAACAGTTTCAATCTGGACTCCTGACACTTGGGTAGATACCTACCTGTTGGATCACATGGTGTCCTCAGGCCAGCTTTAGTCTGCCACACTAATCACCTAATGTTATTAAAGGCCGAGATACCTGAACCCATGCATGCTAGATGCCAATAAGATGACTTCCTTTAATATTCCTACAGCTTTCTTTAAAAAAAAATTTGTATTTTTGATGTTAACATTAGGGATTTTCAAAATTTAAATGTACATATACACCTATTAATATATGTCTCTATACAGCCATGCATTCACTGCTGGGTGTGAGCACATGTGCAGCTGTGTACACTCCATAAGTGTTTAGGGGTTTAGTGCACAGCTTTTACCCCTGCCTAAGTGACACACAGATTTCAGCTACCATCAGTGGGAAGCACCACCTTTGGACCATTTAAACACAGAAACAAACAAACAACATTATAAAGCCATTTTCACAGGATACATACATGTGGTCAGAGCTTGAAGCTTTGTAGCTTACACTCCAGAGGAGCTTCATTTTTGGTCTTCTGTCATCTGTGGGAGCATTTCTGCCCTCAGACGCTGAGGCTGAGGGATTGTGTGCAAGAGGGGTGTGTGTCACATGACTAGTGCATGATCTTTAAATGCCAAAATATGTAAATTCACCTGCAGTCCTCAGACAGGAGAACCACAAGTGTGGGTTCTCACTGCCACTGAAGTATGTATGGGGATCCTCCTAGTGAAGTGTGGGGTGGTGAAGGTGATGGAGAGAGTGGGGAAGAGTTATCCCAGCCTCTGTCAGGCAGCACAGCAGCACTGAAAAGGAGCCTACAGCCATTCCAGTACCTGCTCTGTCTGCCCTGGCCAGGTCTCACAAACCAGGCACAGGCACACAGACACCAGGGAGGGTCCCACACTGCTGGCGCTCACACACACACAAATAGGAGATGTGTGGAAAATTTCTTTTAACTAACTGTGGCAAATGTTTTTCTTGAAGGAAAAAAGGAATATATACATGCTTGACACTTAATAAAAATATCAGTATGTTTGTGCCCAGTATACTGGAATATTGTTCAGCACTAATTTAACCTTGCAAAAATATTATCAGTGTAATGCTGCCAAGGCTATTGTGTGGATTAGTGTGTGGCTCTTGGCTAACCTGGCCACGGGCTGCAGCAATTTTTATACTCAGCTTTTTGGAAACCTTTCTGGCTTGCTGGTGAATCAGTTCACCTTGTTCATTCTTGTTCCTCATCCCTTTCCTATTTTACCTTTGATTAATTTCCCTTTTTCCTTTGCTAGACCGCACTGAATGTCAGACTAGCCCATTCCTCACCGCAGTGAGCCAGTGCGTGCCCAGGTGGCCAAGGCCAGGGCTGAACCAGGCAGGCCCGGGGCAGGGACTGTCCCTGCGCTGGCACTGCCGGGCCCTCCTCCAGCGCTGTGCCGGGTGCTGGGCCCCTCAGTTCAGGAAGGACACTGAGGGGCTGGAGCGTGTCCAGGGAAGGGAACAGAGCTGGGAAGGGGCTGGAGCAGCAGGAGGGGCTGAGGGAGCTGGGGGGGGCTCAGCCTGGAGCAAAGGAGGCTCAGGGGGGACCTTCTGGCTCTGCAACCCCCTGACAGGAGGGGGGAGCCGGGGGGGTCGGGCTCTGCTCCCAGGGAACAAGGGACAGGACACAGTCGTACGCTGCACCAGGGGAGGCTTAGGGTGTACATTAGGAACAATTTCTTCACAAAAGAGTGATTAGACATGAAGGGGCTGCCCAGGGTGGTGGGGGAGTGCCCATCCCTGGAGGTACTTAAGGTAAGACTGGACGTGGCACTCAGTGCTCTGGCCTAGTGAGAAGCTGGCGATCGGTGAGAGGCTGGAGTGGATGGTGGCGGGGGTCCCGCTCCCCTCAGCGCTGCCGCTCTCCCGAGCCGCTCCCGGCTTCAGCTCCGCTCCAGCGGCTGCCGCGGGCACAGCGCGGCCCCGCCGCCAGGGGGCGCTCGCCCGCGCGCCGACGGGGCCACGCACTCTCCTCCGGCCGGGCCCGCGCTCGGCCGGGCGCGACCATCCCCCGAGGCGGGGGGGGGGTCCGGCGCGGGGCGCCACATCCCAACCGTCCCCCCGCAAGCCGCGCTGCCCCGTCCCCCCCGCTGGGCTGCCCTGCGCTGCGCCGGGCCGTGACGTCAGCGCGGCGGGGGCGTGGCCGCGGCGCTCCCAGAGTGCAGCGCACAAGTTGAGCCCC